AATACCCATGGAATTTAACACTGGGGACAGAGCAGTGGGAAGACTGACAGGCTAGAAACCTAGACATACAAACAGTAAACTACATAAACAAATAGACAAGATAAATAAATTTCAGTGTGGTGAATGCTAAGAAGAAAACTACACAGAGTGATTTGCTAAAGAAAATGAGATAGTCGTCCAGCTCCCCATTTTCTCACCCCAGGACATCTGTACAGATCATTCCCTCTTCCAGGGTTCCTCCTTAATCTTTTCCCCCCTCTCTAATTGGCATTCTTACTTCAGCTCTGGTCTCAGCTAAAAGTGGCATCATCTCTAGGTTAAATGTTCCTTTTATATACCCCTCCCATTGTACCCATGTCTCCTTCGTTTTGTTCATTACATTTATAAGTATTTGTTCAATGTCTGTCTTGTCACAAGGGTAGGGTCTTCCTGTCTTTGGTCTACTGATCTATTCCAGGTGACCAGCATATAGCAGATGATCTATCCATTTTGTTGAATAAATGAACCCAAGAAAGACTGGGAAAATCTTTTATTTTTTTCTCCTAAAGGACGTCTCACCAGGAAGGGGTAAAAATCATTTGAACATCACACATATGTAAGAAGTGCGTGGGAGAGAAATTAGACTGAACAGAAGCTGAATGAAAATTAGTCAGTGGTTGTTTCCTTGGGGTCTAGGGTGGCACTGAATGTCATCACAGGATAAATTGTTTTGAGAAGTCACTTCCAAAATATTGGAAGTAAGCAGTTCCTTGCTTATAAAACAGCCTGGAAGAATATATGGAAGAGAGGAAGAGAAAAAGAAAAGACAGAAAAAAGAAAGAGAGAAAGGGTATAATTAAATGATGAAGAAAAAAAAACAGGTGGATGTAAAGATAGTTTTTTTTTTCTTTTTCAGATTCAGACAGAATTTTCTTTCAATATGAAAATGGCCCCTTCTCCCAATATCAAGTAATACATGCACATTGCAAAATATTCAAGACAATGCAAACAGAGGAAAGAAGAAAGGTCACTAATAATCATCCCTTCATATTTTATTTGCATGTGTACACATCTAGAATTTTTCCATGCATATTTACATGTATTTTTAATATATAAATAGAATCACACATGCTATTTTGTAAATTGCTTTTTTTTCCATTAAAAACGTAACTTGAACATATTTCCAGATCTAGCTCCTAATTTTCAATGGCGATGTAGGAATCCATTAAGTAGGTGTACTGTAAAATATTTCACTAATTATTGTTGAATAGTTTCCTGATTTTTCAGTATCTCAATATTATAAGCCTCACTGTGATCAAAATCTTTGTATACTTGTTACATGCGTCTTTGCAAATGTGTTCACTTCTTTTCCTTAAATTTCTGTACATGGACTTGGTGGTCAAACAGGACATTGAGGCATTTGATATACATTGCCAAGTTGCCCAAAACATGTTATATCAATTTGTACCAGTAACATTCAGGTGTGCCTATTTCATACGAGCTTCATCAACACTTAATATTATCAAATTTTTAATATTTGGCATTCTAAGAGGGAAAAAATTAGTTTTTATTTTCACTTCTAGTTACTAGTGAGGTTGAACCTATTATCATACGCTTATCAGGCAAATGTTTTCTCCTTTTTTGAATTGCTTATTTATGTCCTTAGCATAAGGGGGGTTTATCTTTTTAAAAAATCAATTTTAATAGCTCTTTATTGACTTGTGATATTTGTCATATATGTTTATCATATATTTAATATTTTTACCAATTTTTCATTTGTCTTTTAATTTTATTATAGACTAGTATTACCTCTTAGCTCTTATATGTCATATTGAAATTATTTTTTTCAGTTTTTCATTTCTCTTTTAACTTCACTAACCTTGTGTTTTGACATTCAGAAGCTTTTATTAAAATTATTTAACAGTATAGGAATTTAACAGTAATCATTATTAAAATTTAACAGTAATTATTATTATTAAAATTTAACAGTAATTATTATTAAAATTATTAAAATTATTTAACAGTAAAGGAATTTAACAGTAATTCCTTTTAAAAATTTTGTGTCATGTTTAGAAAGTAATTCCACATCCCCAAGGATGTAGACATATTCACTTACATTTTCTCTTGCTTCCTTTATAATTGTAACTTTCACGTTAGGCCATGTTTGCCTCAAGAACATGTAAAGGAGTGGCTAATGTTATTACCAATGCTCACTATCGGGCTTAATAACACCTGCAGGCTACTGAAGAATTCATTTTACGCATTCTCAGTAAAAGTTCTGGTACACGACTACATCATATAAGACAAAAGCTGATAGCACCTAAATTATGTGTACATACTGTTAAAAAATGACAATATCAAGTCTGATGGGAAGATGAGCAGGAAGTGTGAGAATATTATTCTAACTGCTTGGAGTGAAATACTTATATTCAGGCTGATGAAATGGCCATCATGCTGAGAGGGTGCATTCTCTCAAAAAATATTTGATAGTGATAGTCCGGTGGTGGGTATTAAGGAGGGCAAGTACTGCATGGAGCACTAGGTGTGGTGCACAAACAATGAATCTTGTAAGACTGAAAAAATAAAATAAAATATAAAAAATGGGTATAATATTATAATATACTTAGTTTATAACACTTTTGAAGATACTTAGATTTGTGTTTGACATGTAATTATTCAATAAAATGTTAACTGTTAAAAAATATTTGATAATCTACTATGAGTTCGCTGGTGTTATAACAATAAACAAAACAATGAGGTTTGCTGCTCTTAAGGGGTAGGGTAAACAAATAAATAATATACTTTCAGACTAAGTACTTTAAAGAAAATTAAGCAGATAAGGTGCTGGAGAAGTTGTTATTTAGGATAGCGTGGTTAGGGAGACTCCTCTGGGGAAATGACAATTGAGAAGAGGTTTGGTTGTTGAGAACAAAGATATGAAGGGGAAATATTCTAGCCTATATAAAGTTGTAGAAGTGGGAAAAAGTTTGGTTTGTTGGAAGAAAAGTAAGAAAGCATGTAACTGGAGTGCTACCTGGAAACAGAGAAAACAGAAAAAAATGGGAAAAGAAAAACGGAAAACACTCTAAAAACTTGGGTAAGGTTGTTTTTCTAAATCGACTGCGAAAACCGGTGTTGGACGCTGTGTGGCTGGTTTCCTAACTTCCTTCAGGCATTACCATCTAAGAAAGGCCTTCTGTAACTGTCCTTTTACAATTTCCAATGTTATCAGATTTTCCCACCCTTTTACAATCATCGACCCTTTTCAAGTGTTTCAGAAAATTACCATCTCAGAGAGGCCATCTCTGACCACTCTTCAAAATCGTAATTCCCGTTTGCCCCCACCAGGCACTCTCCCACCCCACCCTCTTTCCTCTGCTTTTTCTCCCTAGTATTTATCACCAGATATATCCATATATATAGTAATTCCTGTCCCCTCTCCCGAGTATGAAGAACCATGAGAAAATAGAATATAAAGAACCATGAGAACTGGGATTTTGGTCCGTTTTAATTTCCGCAGCATTCCCAACATCTTCAGTGCTTGACATACAGTTGGCACTCAATAAATGTATGTTGAATAAAAGGTAAGATGCTGTACGAACTAGTCTGAATTAAGCGTGTGAATCGACATCAGGTTGGACTAATACCGCATTTCGCGCTCTCTGAAAAAGGCTTCAAGCAGTCAGGCGGTGACAGTCTTCAGTTTCCAGAACCGGGAAAACTCAGGTTCCCACAGCGCCCAGGACGCGAATTTCTCGCCACAGTTCAAAATGGCGGAGGAGGGTGGGGCCTGTCACATGGTGGGCGTCACAGCCGCGCTCCTTTTCCAGACCGCGGCCCGCCTTGCCGCGTCGTCTGCTGCCTCCTTCTTCCTCCCGCCGAGCCTTTTCGAGGAATCGCCTGGGATTGGCTAATAGGCTGGGAGTGGGGCTGCGGGGCCGAGACGCCGCATCATCACTTCCTGTTGTGGGCAGTCGTTTCCTGTCGCTGCTTGGTAACAATGGGGAAGATAATGGCTGCCTGAGCAACGTCTCCGAGCAGGCGCTGGGCTAGAGGCGGGTCTCCACCAGCGACTCATCGGAGGCGGGCTTGAGAGCAGAGGCAGGGGAGGCGCGCAGGAGCCTCGGCGGCGGCGGCCGAACCGACAGAGTCGGACCCGACACCCAAAACCGAGTAAGTGAAGCCTTGGGAAATCCTCTTGAGAAATGGATGGAGAGCGAGGGGAAGACAGCGGCGCCGCGGCTGCCGCGTTCTCTCAAAATGGCCTGAATGTCGTGTCGTGGCGGACGCTCAGTACCGCCTCCGGACCCCAGGCGCTGATTGCTGCGGGGGGCTCCGTGGCGTAGTCCCCGCTGCCATTTTAGTTGGGTGTATAGTCACAGTCTCTTGAAGAAGGGGAAGGAGGTGGGTAGTACTTCCTCTCCGTGGCGGTGCGAGCTAAAGCCGGGGCGCTCCACAGCCTTAAGAATTTGGGGGAGGCGATTTTTGAGTGTTGGCCTCAGGCGTGAGAATCTTTGATCGTCTCAGGTTTTTCTCTTGGGTTCTCTGGAGGCTTCCCTCGCTTCCCCATCCCCCTTTTATATGGCGGGCTTGGGTTTGGGAAAAGGGGAAAAAATCAGGTTGCTCTAAGTCAGATGCTGGGAACTCTTGGGCCTTTAGATTTCCCAGGATTTGCAAAACCCCATTTTGAGCCCTTCTGCTGGGCACTATAAATTAGGCGCCCCCTGGGGCCACGATGACATCTTCCCTGAGGATCTGGGGCAACTGTGGTTTACTCCCTTACTCGAGTAACCCTGGCGTATCCTTTGCCAGATATCACTGCAAGGATCCCCCGAAAAGGCAGGGGAAAGCCATTGCGTGTTTGTTGTTTTTCCCTGGGTAAGGGTGGGAATTGGGCCAAATGATTTTCAACTTAATTTCCGTTTAATCCGGCAACAACCCAACCCCTCCCACCCCCCCAAAAAAGAAAAGCCTAAGGGTCTCGGCTTCTGCGGGCGGTACCTGCCACGTACGCCATAGCTTTAGTAACTAGTATTAACCGGTTGGGCTTCTGCTTCCTGAATACTCAGTCCCTTTTTTGCCTTATGCTGATTAATTTCAAGATGGAGGAGACAGCCACGTTCCTTCCTTAGACAGTTTCCCCATACTTATTCCACAGGTTAGTCCGGGAATCTGAGGCCTAGCGGTCCTGTTATTTAGGTCATTATTTTCGTTTGGGGGCAAGAGGAAGCATTTATATCAGGTTGTCATCCACCATTTGCAAGGTCCCACAATAATTTTTTGGTGCAAATAAAGAGCTCGCATTTCCTGAATCAGAATTAACTGCAGTCGCTTTAGATGATTGAAGGGAGGAAGAAACAAATGTACTACTAGTCGTTTCTACTACTAGAATCACTTATTTGATTCTTCGAAATTAAAGACACAATTACTCATATCGTCCTATTAGGTACATTATGTCCATCCTGGATAACTTGAGACCAGGCAGGCACAATTATTGCCCCCCCAAAATCAGCTTTCTAGATTATAAAAATAAAGTACCCAGGAAAACCAATCCAAATAATTTTTAAACTATGGTTTTAGGAGACTGTTAAACTGAAAAATATTTCATTCTTTAGACCTAATGTCCTAGTGATCTTCTCATACTTTAGCTCCTGCCATAGGCTACTGTAATGTGCCAGATAAGTCCTTGAAAGTAACTATCAGAATCTGAAAATATTACTGGTCTGATAAGGAAAGGCCTATTTTAAGCAAGCTTATATTAAAAGGTAGATTGGCTTTCAGCCTTTAAAGGAAATCTTACATCTTACACAAGATTCCTGGTTTCCTCTGACTTCCATCTCCCCAAATATCCTAATAGTAATATTAAATTAGGTTGGGTTATGGGGTGTGTAACTTAAAATATATAGGATGTTTTTTAGGATGTGTCTATTTCATAGAAAATGTGTATCTTATGAAAGAGGAAGAATAATGGATTCTTTTTTTTTCTAGAGCAGAGAGTGAAGAAAACTAAAATCCAGTTTATTGTATTACAATACTATGTCATAACAGTCAGGTAATTTATTTTTTGTTGCGTCTCCTGATGATTTTTGTGTAGAATGCATGTTTAAAAATATTTATTCTGTTTTGCAGGCCCTGTAATTGGATGGGTTTATTTGATACATGTTTGTTGGTGTTGGGCATTCTTCATAATAAGAGTGGGTATTTTTTATTGGGATTCAAAGGGTAGTGTGTCTGAATAGCTGGAACTCCACTAGTGTTTTATCTGTGAATTTTCCCTTTCTAAAATAATATATGAAGTTTACCAGTACGTGTATAGAACAGAAAGAACAAAATGGAAATTTGCTGCCTTAAGTCATTGTTGGGGTGGGATAGGTCTAAATAGATAGCATTTAAATGTTCATTGAATAACTAAATGAATATCAGTAGAACATCTTACAGGAATATAATCTTACATTATTTTGTTTGGTGTTCATTTATTTCCTTCAAGATCCAGAAAGTCATAATTGATAAAAAATACTCTGATATTAACTCTTTTCATCGTCATCATTGTTATGGTAACCACATGATTTATTGCCTTAGCCAGGATGCTTTTAAGAGCAAAAGGAACATTATTAATAGTTATGCCTGGACAACAGGTGCAAACCTAGACTGCCCCAAGCAAACTGTGATGGAGTTAGTTAGCCTAAATTCAAAGCTAACTTGTATTGAATGCTTATGTGCTGTGTCCTGTGCTTCACTTGCATGACTTTGTAATCCTCACAGCAGAGCCTCATGAGGATATTAACTATTTTACAGAGTTAACTGAGACTCAAAAGAGGTTAAGCAATTTGTCCTCAATTAAATAGCTAATAAGTGGTAGAGCCCCCATTTTAACCCAGATGTCTCTGATGCTGAAGTCACTAAACTTTTATGCCTCTAGACTTAATTGCTCTCTAATTAGATTGGAGATGGAAAGAAAATAAAGGTTGCAGTAAAAAAATCTACAGGTTATGTCGTATCAAAAACTTTTGTTCCCACTTAGAATCTGGTTTATGATGCAGGAGAGACTTTTTTTTTTAGCAATTACACTCTTCCCTTTTTTATGTCATGGCTTCTGTTTCAGCTATTACTGCTTGTGATATTATTTGACACACTTAATTTAAAAGCACACATGGTTTTAAGAAATAGCTTAATGAAGTGATATCTAGAAATGTTAGGCTGGTTGGATATATTCGTTGAGGTTAGTGAACATGTTGTAGGGACTTAGATAATACAGTAGGTCAAATGGGACATCTGTATCTATGGAATTAAATTGTGTATATTACTTTCTGCATAGCCCTAGTAGATTGCAAAATAGAGCAAATCACTCACCAGCCTCTTCGGTCTTGATTTACCATAGAGTGGTTAACAAATTAGAAAGTGAAAAGTCCTTTCTCAAATCCAGACCAGCAAGGTGCTAGAATTTTGGGCCACTGCCTAGGACATGTTTTGTTTTCTTTGTAAGTCTACTTCCTTATCATCTCTGTATAACACAGAGATTTCCAAAACCTTATGGCCCATCAATTTAAAAAAATACCAATTTATATAATCCCTTGAAGTTTTGATAACCAGCTTAAGAAAGTATTCTGTGTCTGTTTTTTCCTTTGATGTTTTTTGCCACCCTTGAATATGGAAATTTCCCAGATAATCAAACAGTTCTTTTTCCAGTCATCAATTGAAATTTTTTAAAATATGAAAATCTTGGCAGTTTTGAATAGTTCAGGCATATGCTTGTGAACTTGTGATTTTGTTTCTGAAATACATAGTTGATCTTTTTGTTGTAGATTTTCTGACCCAGGACTTTAATTTCATCAGTCCTAATAGTACCTACATATGTGTGAGACAAATATTTATAGACAGTTTGTGGTGTGTATATAGATTTGTAGACCTTGTGCAGTAATTTCATGACTACAGATTGAGGTGCTCTTCTAGAGGTTTGCATGGTGATGAAAAAGATACTTTGCAGCGGGGACGAGATTTTTGTATTCAATGTTTTAAACTTTCTTTAGAATGAAAAATGGTCTCTTTCCTCTTACTCTCCACTTAACTGTAGGGAAAAAGAAGTTAACTCTTAATTATAATTTTCATTTTTTTATTGACCAAAGTTCCTATTAGTGTCAATTACATCTAAGGTGACCATATTAATTTATCCATGCTGGAATGCTTTTGAGAGTGAAAGAGGGCCATATTAATTACTGTGGGACAACAGGTGTAGATTGCTACTCTTCTGGACAAACTGGGGACATATGGTCATTTTTGTCGTCATTTCTGTAGGAATACTGGTTCAGGAAGCACAGTTGTCAGCATGTTTGGTTCTGTAACACAAAATTGTTTTCCTCAAATAACATAAGTCATTTGTGTAGATAGTATTTTCTTTTTTGGTCAGGGGATTTTAATTTTAAAAATTTGCTTCACTTACTAAAAAGTTAATATTTGATGGAAAGCTCATGTTCTTAAATTAAGATACTACCTTACCAAAATTGCCAGTAATCAGTGACTTACATTAATAACTTTCTTCATAAACACATGAACATTTTGGGTTTTTGAGTCATTTTTTGACTTCTTGGGAATAATGAGAAGGCACAGTCAAGTTTGTGTGGATAAGACCAAGATCTAATTTAGTAATGTAGCTCAATAATAAAAAGAACATGAAACGGGTATTCGAAGATTAAATTTACTGTCTAAAGTATTTGCGTGAATAGAAATGTCATCACAATGATTTCCTTTTTTAACTAACTTGTCCCTGTGAACTGGCACCATTTGGTTTGATCTCTGTACTCTGATTTGTTGACATTTGTATTAATAATCTTTCGATTTAACTGTTTCTGAGAATTGTAATAGAACTGTTTGTGAGCTGCAAGTCAGTAGACTTCCTGCCAAGAGATTAGACACATGAGGGACATTTCTGAATCCTTTTTTTTTTCTTGCTGTTCTTTTCAAGTGGTAGTGGTAGAAGAATATAAATGAGGCTAAAGTAACACTGCCATGCAGATAATGTTTTATAATTTTGTATTGCTGTGATAGTATCAACAGTAGTAGAGGTCTTGGTAGCATCCTCTGACAGGCCAATATTGGAAATAATCAACAAATTGTGTGGGTGGTGACAGGTATCATGCAGTAGGTAAAGGCAGTGAAATAAACGTCAACCCTGTCATGTTTTTTAGAGAGGGATGCTTTATATTTGTTTTGAAAAATGTAAGATAGTCACAAAAGGGAGATAGAAGTGCGTAAGTGAAATGGTGGTGAGAAAAGCGCAGCTTTTTAAGCTTACATCCTAGTTATTCATGTTGTTTCTTTAGTTTTATTTTTGACTTATTACCGTAATGTGACCTGGGTTATATTTTATTCATAGTCCAGATTCATAGAACTGGATGGTACCTTATGGATGGTTTTATTCCAGTGCTCTTAATATTGATGATGATCCTGAGGCACACGAGGTTAAGTGAATTGACCAAATTAACGTAGCTGGTTAATGTTACAGCCAAGACTAGAACCCAGTACCTCCTCTATATTTTCCTTTTCACAGAACTAAATTCCACCCTTTTTACTTTTATCCTTTTACTGATAGGATAAGAAAAGCTGTTTGGTTATTAATCATTTTTTATTTGTTACAAATGCTAATAAAATTTTAATTAAACGTTTTGCATGTGAAGAATTCTCAACACTTTTTGGTGACTACATACACATTGGTACTTTATATTCTGACCTCAAATTCAGTGGTTCTTTGTGATTTGACTTTTTTAAAAACTGCATGAGGTATTTTTCATTTTGGCAGTGGTATTATTGAGCTTTAGTGACAAGGATTGCATGTCATTAGTTTTCATGTATTCTCTGAGGTTCTTCATGAAGCTCTGTTGCAAGCAGAATGATACTTGTTCTTTTTCCGTATGAAACATTTTTATTTAGATACTATCATTTTTTTAATTGGCCTGTTCTGAGTTAGAACATTATTGAGTTTTGGAGCTTGTATGAACACAAAAGATAAAAATGCTCAAGCTGCTTTGGTAGTTAGTTGATATTAGGTTACCTTGATTCCTCCCTCCCACTATACCTTTTTGTTTTTAAGAAGAGATTATTTATTCCAGACTTAATAGATGGGGCTTATTATTAAATAGATATTGACACAAACATTTCATAAAAAATAAATTTCATAATTTATTTTTATAAAGTCTTTTAACAGTATATTTTGGTGCCTTCAGTCGTCTTCATTGGGTACTGTGATGCAGTATGCAGTATGTCTGTTGAGTACAGTATGTGTGTACTTAGCACCATGTCTCCTGACCCATTAGTACTGGACCATGTTTTGTTTTGTTTTGTTTTTTTAATAATTTATTTATTTGTCAAAGATAGAGCACAAGTGGGAGAGCAGCAGGCAGAGGGAAAAGCAGACTCCCCACTGACCAAGGAACCCAATGCAGGGCTTGATCCCAGAACCCTTTTCACCCTAATATAACAAAATTTACATTTTTTAAAATTTGGAGTACATGGTTGAAGAGAGTTAATGGAATACTTATAATAGTGGTCAGAAACATAGTAAGCTGCATAACTTACACTAATATATGGTAATGACTGTAGAAGAAATGGGGATCACTAACAGTGCTTTAATCAAGGTGAATAAAATCTGTCTTAAATTCCCTGATTACAGAATAAACCCCAGGCTTGGTTTTCTTGCTGGCTTGTCCTACTAGAGTTGAATTTACCTGACACAGTCACACATTCATTGGCCAAACGAGTAGTTTTGGAAATGACTGGCAAAATTTCTAATTTGGCTGCTCGTTTCCAGGAATGGATTTGGATATATTGGCACACAGTACTCTGAAAGAAATAAGGTTAGTAAAGTATGCTATTTTTTGTTTTTAAAACACAAATACTAAAACTTGACTTACTTTAAAATAAGTCCTGCTTGGTTCATACTGCTTAAAAAGGTGCTTTGTTGTTTTAGAAGTTTTCATACCCAGAGTGAACATGGTATAAAAATCTCATAGTGAGGTTGATTACTTTAGACATGCCTATTGGGCTTGAAGGGATGTGTTT